GGGAAAATGGTGCCACCAGTTTTTAAGCAAAAGGGCTGTGCTTGCCGTTTGTCCAAGTGACCCTTGGTGCAGCTGGGTGTTGGTGAAAAAGTTCTCCAGGTTGTGTTTCAAAGGTGTGTGCACACCGCATCCGGCTCTGATCGCAGTGCAGGGGTGTGATCTGCCCGCCTGTGTGTCCCCTCTTCTGCCGCTGTGCCCCTGGGTCCCGGGAGCTCCTCCGTGGGGGTAACTGGAAACAAGCCTCAACTCTCCAGTTCAGGGTTGGGATGGCTCCACCAAGCCCCACGGTGTTTCTCTATTTCTCAACCTCATTGCAAATACTCAGCTTAACTGGTCAAAAAGAAGACAAAAGAGGGGGGCAAATATCTTCTCCCGGGCATCTGCTTATGGGAATGTCCATTCCAGTGGTGGAAACTGCATGGACCAAACGTCTCCGAGAACAAAGAGTTGCTTTAGGACAAGGCATGTGAGTGGCACCAGGAGGAAGGTGATTCACCGCAGTTGCCAGCTGGCGGCTGGGCGGAGGCGCTGGCTGGTCTCCAGGCTCTGCCAGCAGCAGGTATCCCTGTGGGTGCGTGTCCGGCACTGCCTGCCCCAGCGCCTGCTGGGCAGAAGAGAAGCTGAGCCCTTGGGTGCTCAGAGCGGAGGATCCATCCCTTTCAAGCACCACTTGCTATTTACACACGGGCAGGACTGAGCAAACAGTTGCTGCTTTTCACCAAAAACTACTGTCCTGGAGCAGCAGAAAATGAAGGACCAGCTGTCAGAGCTGCCATCACCCTTCCTGGCTCAGCCAGCGTGTCCCTCCTCGTTCCGGGTTGTACCATGGTGAGGGGTGTGGAGTGGACCCTGTCCTTAACCTCTGTGCCCATGAGGTCCTCACCCATCCTGGAAGAGAGCTGAGCTGCGTGCAGTCATGTCAGACTCTGGCTGTGCCCACTGGCATCTTGAAAGAGTGCTGAGGCGTTGGAACAGGCTGCCCAGGGCAGTGGTGGAGTCACCATCCCTGGAGGGGGTCAAGAAACGTGTCGATGTGGTGCTTCGGGACATGGGTTAGTGGGCTGGGTGGGGGTGGGGTGAGGGCTGGACTTGATGATCCTTGAGGTCTTTGCCAACCTTAGTGATTCGATGATTCTATGATTCTATTCTATGATTCTATGTCCACCAAGATCGTACCTGTGGAATGGATGGGCTGCAGGACAAGGTGATGTCTGTGCTCACTAACAACAGCTTCTGCAGCAGATAAAACTGCTGCCTGTTGATATTAACCATGCAACAGCTGCAATGGTCCCTTTTTCGTTGTTCCGGTTAGGGACTGGCACGGTCAGTCCTCAGATCCTCACCATCGTGGAGACCGGCTCGGGTTTGCCTCCAGTGATGCAGAGGAGTGACCGTGACTCACTCTGCAAAAGAGGAATAGAGCAAACACTGTCATCTGCGCTCCAAGGAGACAAATGAGTCCCCATGCCTCTCCCAGCCCAGCAGAGCCAGGGAGACATCGTCCTGCTCTGGCAAGAAGTTTCCAAGAAGCCCACGGTGGAGTTTCCTGCACGTGGCGCAGTCAGCGCTCAGTCCCGGCCCCACATTGCCCTGCTCAGGATCTCGTGTTCACTGACCACCGAGAAAACCAGTGCATGAAGGAAATTGCCTCTCCCCCTCCTCAGGCATTTCTCTTCTCTGTCAGCCGATGCTTCCCTGGCTATTTTGAGGTCTTGGAAACAGAAGGGAGCTCCGACCTGCTGGGATAGCGTCACACTGCCTAGTTCTCTAGTACAAAGGAGCAAAGTGGGCATGAAGCAGCTTCGCCTTCATGGGACGTGGGTCTCATCGGATGGTGTCTTTGGAAAAGCTGAAGAGTGTGAGTTGTGAGCACTGAGAAATCCCACCTTCCCTTAGAAAAGAAAAGAAAGCATGTGCCATGCAGTGACAGAGAGAAATTTCAGCTGCAGAATGGATCTGCAAGAAGGGTGCTGAAATCAGAACAAAACTTACAGAAACCATGACTTGACTTTTCAAGAGCGTGGTGGGTTTGGGGATGGTGCCACGGTAAGGGGATGCACAGCAGCTCAGGCAGTGCCACCGAGGACACAGGATTGGTGTCACCACCCCAGCGGGTGGGCTGTCCCCCCTCCAGCCCCCTGTGCTGCTAAGGCAGCAGGAGAGGATTTGCCCACTGCGTCCCACCACCCACAGCTCCAGTTGTTCAAGGAATTAGTGGATGGGACCCTCTGGGAAACTGCCCTCAGGGATAAAGGAGCTGAACAGAGCTGGCAGCCCTTTAAGGACATTTTTCATAGAGCGCAAGAGCTCTCAACTCCCATGTGTTAAAAAATCGGGCAAGAGAAGGCAGGAAACGAGCATGGCTCAGTAAGGGCCTCCTGGTCAAACCAAAGTGTAAGAAGGAAATGCACAGGCAGTGGAACCAGAGATCTGTGTCCTAGGATGAATACAGGGACACTGCCTGGATGTGTAGGGATGGGATCAGGAAAGTCAAGGCACAGTTGGAGTGGAATTCGTTAAGGGATGTGAAGAGCAATAGGGGCCTCTACAAGTACATTGGCCAGAAAAGGAAGATTGGAGAAAGTGTGTCCCCCCCTTAAATAAGATGGGAGAGCTGGTGACAACCAACATGGAAAAGGCTGAGGTACTCAACTTTCTTTTTTTCTGCCTCAATTTTCAGCGGTAGTTTCTCTTCCCATGTCTCTCAAGCCCCTGAACCTCAAGGCAGGGACTGGGGGGAACAAAGTCCCTCCTGTTGTAGATGATGATCAGGTTCAAGACTACCTGAAGAACCTAAACATACGTAAGTCTACAGGATCCAACAGGATGCAGCCCAGGGTCCTGAGGGAATGGGATGATGTTGTCAAGCCACTGTCTGTCATATTTGAAGAGTTGTGGCAGTCAGGCAGAGTTCCTGGTGACTGGAAAAAGGGAAACGTGACTCAGATTTTTTAAAAGGGTAAAAAGGAGGATCCTGGGAACTACTGACCAGTCAGCCTCAACTCACTGCCTGGTAAGATCATGGAGCAGATCCTCCTGGAAGATATATTGAAACTCATAGAAGACAGGAAGGTGATTAGAGACAAGGGCAAACCGTGCCTGACCCATCTAGCAGCTTTCTATGATGGAGTGACTGTATCAGTGGACCAGTGAAGAGCTATGGATGTCATCTGCCTGGGCTTGTGTAAGGCCTTTGATATGGTCCCCCCCAAGATTCCTACCTCTAAATTGGAGAGATATGGGTTTGAGGATGGACTGGATGGCCATGTCCAAAAAATTACCGTGAACAACTCAATGTCCAAGCAGAAAGCAGTAACAAGTGGTGTCCCTCAAGGACCAGTACTGGGACTAATACGAATTAATATCGTCGTCAGTGGTGTGTATCAGATTGTCTGGACCCTCAGCAAGTCTGCAGATGACACCAAGCAGAGTGATGCAGTTATTCACTTGAGGAAGGGGATGCCATCCAGAAGGACTTTTGGGCTGGAGGAGTGGGCCCGTGTGAACCTCATGAACAAGGCCAAGTGCAAGGTCCTGCTTGTGGGTCAGGGCAATCCCCAGGATCTGTACAGACTGGACTGAGAGCAGACCTGCAGAGAAGGACTTGGGGATACTGGTGGTTGACAAACTGGACATGAGTCGTCAATGTGCACCCGCAGCTTTCAAAGCCAACAGTGTGCTGGGATGCATCACCAGCAGCGTGATCAGCAGGTCAAGGGAGGGGATTGTCCCCCTCTGTTCTGCTCCTGTGAGACGCCCCTGCAGCGCATCCATTTCTGGGACCCCCAACAAAAGGACATGAACCTGTTAGGGCAGGTCCAGAGGAGGCCATAGAAATGGTCAAGGACTGGAGCACCTCCCGTACGAGGACAGGCTGAGAGAGCTGGAGTTGTTGAGCCTGGAGAAGAGAAGGCTCCAGGGAGACCTTATCATGGCCTTTCAATATATAAAGGGGGCTTGCAAGAAAGACAGAAAAAGACTTTTTACCAAGGCTTATCGTGACAGGACAAGGGGCAGTGGTTTTAAACTGAAAGAGAGTGGATTTAGCTTGGACATAAGGAAGAAACGTTTTCCTGTGCGGGGGGTGAGGCAGTGGCCCAGGGTGCCCAGAGAAGCTGTGGATGCCCCATCCCTGGAGGGGTTCAAGGCCAGGCTGGATGAGGCTTTGGGCAACCTGGGCTGGAGGTTGGGCAACCTGTGCTGGTGGGAGGTGTCCCTGCCCATGGCAGGGGGTGGCACTGGATTATCTTTAAGGTCCCTTCCAGCCGAAACCATTCTGTGAGTCTCTGATCCTCCCATGGAGGTGACAATGGGCATGAAGGGCTCCAGGAGGAGAACACCCATGATTTTGAATTGGAAAGTGGTCATGTGCATCCCAGCATGACAAGTTGGTGGCAGGGGGAGCACAGGGTCCTTGCATGATCGTCCCACAGCCAGTGGATGTGACAATCCCACCTCGGCCCAGCTTTGCCCATCAGCAGCCCCCACATCAGTCCTGCTGCAGCCCACATCAGTGGGGCCCCGTGACTGGTGCCTGTTGTGGCCCTGATGACTTGGAGCTGCTGAAACAGGACGTGAAAAATCAAGTTCCTGCTAAAACCGCATTTCCTCCCTCGCGGCTGCGGCGATGGGCTGGTGTCATGCCAGCAGTGCCAGTGGGCAGTGGAGCATCTTTTGACTCCAAGGCAGGGAGAAGGGGCACGGGCCAGGACAGCTGGGTCCCGCTCCCGCCCGGGTTTGGGACAGGAGTGTCCCTGGGGTGCAGGCAGCGCAGGCAGGGTGTGCAGCCTGCTCTAAGGCGTTTTCTCCCTCCGGTGGTGTGGGGCTGCCCTGGGTGATGGAGGGCTTGTAAGGAGCTATGTCGGCCAGAGGAGCCTGTGGGGACAGCGGCAGCCTGGGACGGGCCAGCTCACCCCGTCCCTCCACAGCCCCCTTTGGTTTCTTCTCTGCAGGTGGCAGAAGGAGAGGACAGGGAGTCGCTGATGCGCTGACGGCCAACCATGTCCGGGGTGAGCAGGGCTGCCACAGGGATGCCAGCACTTCCCCTGCTGACATTGGGGTGACGTGTCCACCCAGGACCAGTGGGGTGCAGGGGAGCTGGTGCCCAGTGCCCCTTGTCCCCAGACAGGGCTTCAGATGGCCCCTGGGGCTGTCCCTGATGGCTGGGGGAGGCAGAGGGGA